ACGGTGGGGTTCCATGGGCCGGGAAGTATTGCAGCGATGAGCTTGATGCGCTCGGTGTTGTGCAACAACGCCTGAGACAATGATACACTTTCGTGCTGGTTGTCGGCTCCGTACGACGCGGTGAAACGAATTTGGGTGAGCGCATACTCGAAGCCGTATGATTCGGCCGTTCGGGCGTATCGTACGTTGGATGCTAGGTCCCAACTCGTTCGTTGCGCTATCTTTGAAACAACGAGACCACCTGAGACGTTCGGGACCCAGTAACTACAGTGTCGCAAGGTTAGGACAGGTGGTAAATAGCTGTCTTTGGGAGACTGCTCACGCGAACAATAGACGATCAGGATCCTGGTTTAGGTCCAGTTGCTTTGCTGGCGTATAATCTTGCGCTGTGTTATTCAGGTGTCCGTTGGCGCCATTCGTCGTTCCGTTCTGCGCTGCTGCTAAACATATTATTAGCCTTACACGTACTTGATAGCCCTAGTGAATGATAATCTTACCTGTCTTTTGTCTCTTGCGCGGCGTCATGGTTATCTGGAGGGATACAATACAACGTAAGTTTGAGGATACGGGGGTGTGTGAGTTGAGTACCTGTACTACGATGCCCCGCAACGTGGACCTGGGGTTCAATTGCAGATCAGATATGCGCATAACAAGCGTGGATTGCGTGATATGCAGTCATCAGAACGCGTGATTCACGTGATTGTCGTAGATTAGACCCGGTACGTAGACTAAATGGCATTCCCTTTGATTGCAGCCGGCTTGCCGCCGATCTTGCCTAAGCCAGCTGGTTGACTTCTATATCGCAGCTCAACATCTCGGCTTCGCATATGACAAGGTGTGGCGCATGATCTTGCGACAACTTCACGAGTCCGGCATCCTCAATTGGCTGCTTGCAAGCTTCGGCCTATTGGTCGATGTGGCAATCCAACCCTCTGAAGACGTGATGTGCCGTAACTTGCAGCAAGATACTCAAGCACTGCATGCCCCACACGATGACCGACCAGGATAGCGAGCTTCGACTGCAATACTATGATGCCGCCCGACACGATCATAAGAACGCTACCCAGCACTGAAAGTAGGGCCGAAGCACGTAATTTGCCATCGCATGGTCGCAATAGTAACGTACCGACACCGCTGTCGTCCCGCGTCGATATGGTCTTTTCTAACATGGGAGCTTATGACGATTCAGTACAAAAGCCTGTGGATCAAAGTCAGTCGCTTGCGTGAAGGATTCCTTGCGCGCAGACAATCATGTCCAAATTCTCAACGACGGACTTGAACAGCAAAAGCAGCGCTGGCACGACCGATGTCGAGAAGCAACTCAGCCATGAGTCTCCAACAGTGCCAATCGCAGCTCCAAAGACCTTGGGTGCTGGAGTTAGTTATACTTCCAGTGCATTTTACACCGTTGCTAACTTATCAAGACAGCGCTTCCAATCGGAGTCTTCGCGACGACTTTGACCACGCTGTCGCTCAGTCTCATGGAATGGCGAGGAGTGACCACAAACAATGTCTTCGTCGCCAATTTCTTCTTTGCGGCGGCATTCGGTAGGTGGCCGGAATGTACAATACATGTATGACATGACTGACTTCATACTAGGCCTGGTAGTCACTGCACAGTGGGAGCTGTCCGTCGGTAACGGTTTCGCTTATACGGTCTTCAGCGCCTTTGGTCTGTTCTACGCCGGCTTTGGTGCGATCTTGACCCCTGCCTTCGGGGTTGAGGCAGCATATGGAGGCGATGTGAAGCAATACAATAACGCTCTCGGGTTCTTCATGATCAGTGAGTTGCTCAGGGCCGACAAGCGGTGAAAGCGCTACTAATCGTGTGACAGTGTGGACGGTCTTCGCCTTGGTGTTCCTCGTGGCCTCGTTGCCGACAAACCTGGTCTACATCATCATCTTCTTTTGTGTCGAGCTGGGATTCTTGCTAGTGTCGGCGTCTTATTTTGCCACGGCAGATGGACACCCGACCTCGTCCGTCGCGCTCAAGAAAGGAGGTGGTGCGTTCTGTTTCTTGGCTGGATTGACCGGGTGGTATCTGACGTTCGCGTTGCTGCTCAAAGACTCCATCGTTGAGCTACCACTCGGCGACACTTCCCGGTTCTTCGCGAAGAGAAAGGCGGAATAATCTACAGGCAACACAAGGCTCGCATGCTGGTCACTGAAGGTGTCTCGGAGGTGCGCAGTCTGCTGGACATTGTGATGGGCCGTGAAAGTGCGGAGTTGGGGATGATGCGATTGAGGGGTTAGATGGCGAACGCGGTTCGCGTTTGGACGTGCGCACTGGTTGCAGACTAGTCTCGTTCTGGGTTAGCTCAAATGCGATGATGCAGGTGCGGTCCGCCGACGCGTCTCACTCTCCAACTTTCACGTTCACATGCTGTACCGACACTGCTTTGCGAAATCTACGCCCCCACGGTATCGGACTATTCCTAGCTACACCTGCCTATCGGCAGACAACTCAACATTCACCATGTCGGCGGTATATCCCTGTCTCTCCGGTCGTTCTCATCGCCATCGTAAACCTACTCAGGTGTTCATGCGCACCAATGCGAATGGCTCAAGAATGAACAAATAGCACGCAATACTCTGCGTGATTCTCATCATTCCGAGGGATGTTCTACGGGGTTTAAATATAAGATCGTGATCGAGATCTCGAGATGTCATCATTCTATCCATCTACACGATGGCCATGACGAATGGTACTAACAGCGAGTCCGGAAATGCGCAGCGAGTCGACTTCAGAGACCCGGCTGTCTATGCTGAGTATGAGACGAAGTGGTCTTCTATTCCGGAAGACGAAGCAGGCTGGCTCCAGCGTGCTCAAGATGTAGCCGATGTTCTCGCCGTTGATGCCGTCGTGCGAGATCAAGAGAACAAGTCTCCACGTGCGGAAGTTGCACTACTGAAGCACTCTGGATTACTGAAGCTCCTTGGTCCGAAGCAGTATGGTGGCGGTGGTCAGCCTTGGAGCGTGGGCTACAAGGCGATTCGGAAGGTCGCCGAAGCAGACGGGTAAGGTCTTCCCCTCCCCGTACGCATATGTATACTAACTGTCCTAGGTCAATGGGCATGCTCCTCGGCTACCACCTCCTCTGGTCAACCACAGCAAACATCGTTGGCTCACCCGAACAAGCCGATCGCATCCAAAAGCTCATAATCTCGAACAACTACTTCATCGGCGGCGCCGTCAATCCCCGCGACAGCGACTTATCCATTAAGTCCGACGGCGACGGCCTCGTCTTCAACGGCTTCAAGTTCTTCAACACAGGCGGTGTCGTCTCCGATCTCACGGTTCTCGAGGGCGTATACGAAGGCACCGGGAATCACATCTTCGCCTTTGCCAAGACGGATCAACCCGGTATCCAATTCGGCCATGATTGGAACAACATTGGTCTGCGCTTGACAGAGTCGGGTAGTGTGAAGATCTCCGATGTGCGCGTACCTTGGGAGGATGCCCTGGGTTGGCACATCGAGAAGAAAGAACCAGATCCCCGTGCGCTGCAGATACCTTTCGCGACGCTACTTCTGCCAACCATTCAGCTCGTCTTCAGTAACTTCTATCTCGGCATTGCACTGGGCGCACAACAATACGCAGCGAAGTATACAGTGAAGGGAACTCGGGCATGGCCATTCGGTGGCGATGTAAGCACACCCGCATCCTCCGAAGCAGTACATACCGCTAATGCAAGATCAGAACAAGGAGAAAGCCACAGACGAATTCTACATCCTCGAACGTTACGGGAACTTCCACGCCCACCTCCGCGCCGCATCCGCCCTGGCAGACCGCGCTGGCCAAGAAGTCGATGCCGTTCTCAATGAATATGCAGGCGATCTGGACACGCGCGGAAAGCTGACTGCACGGCAGCGAGGCGAGCTGGCGGAATGGGTTGCAAGCGTCAAGGTCGTTACAACCGATACCAGCCTGCGCGTCACATCTGGGGTGTTTGAGGTCACAGGCGCGAAAGCGACGAGTGCGAGAGTAGGCTTGGATCGGTTTTGGAGGGACGTGAGGACGCATACGTTGCATGATCCTGTGGCGTATAAGAACCGCGAGTTGGGGAGGTTTGAGTTGTTGGATGAGATTCCGGAGGCTACGTGGTATACTTGATTGCGCTACTTGTATGCACTGTCCTCCGCACTCCGTCGTTCCCAGGACCGATAAATTCGTTGTGATCACGAAGTCCTAGATCGTGGGTGAGGAATTAATCTCAGTAATACGTTTTCCCTTCCTCCGGCTCTGTGACCGGATTCGAAGAGAGCGAACAATGTTGGAAACCCGTGACCACTTCATGCTCTGTGACGCCCCATTGAACTTTGGCTAGGTGCGCATCGACATCGCCAGGTGGTGGGTGACAGGCGGCGCTTATCGCAAGACTGCAAGACGCCACAACAGGCACTCTTACTTCTCTCTTCCTAAGCCCCATAGCACCAATCACAGCCACCAACCCAAAGAGAATGATGATTAAGACCACTAGGCTTAGGGCGGAGAAGCCGATTGCTGATGTTGATGTCGCGATCGTATTACGGTTATTGTCATCCCCCAAGCCACCCAAGCTTAACGTGAATGTCCGAACGAGGAAAAAGGCCTGTGACATTAACCAGTGGAGCGTAGCACTGATAGCAAGAAGGGGAAGACTCCATCTGTACGGCATCTGTAAGAAGTATGTACTTCTTTGATGGCCATACGGCTGTGTAACTCTGAGGCCTTTCCTTGATGCCCCCAGATTGTTCCACTCTTGCTCTGCAGCCATAGACGTACAGACAATGTTGATCCAAAAGTAACAGAAGGACAACAGGACCTGCGGGACGTTGGAAAGCCAGGCACTCCATAGAGTGGCTGTCTCTTGGCTTACTGCAGGGTTCATGTAGGAGGTGGAAGAAGTCCCCCATCTTGAGCGTGAGACCAAAGCGCCTGCGAGAGCGCCGCCACACAGAAGCAAGCAGAGAACGGATCTATATAGTCAGCCACGTATCTGGTGATGAGGAGAACAGGCTTACAAGAATGCGTAGACTTTCGAGGCCACGTCGTGGTATGGGGAGAAGTACGATCTTGAATACGGAAGCCAGGAGCCCTCAAGTCGTAGATGAAGTTGTTCGATCTCTTTGTTTCCGCGATTGTATCCAATCTTCGGAAGATCTTTCCTCGCAATCATTCCTTCTCGACTAAGCAGGCACTTGTCGATCGTATAGCGATCTCTGAGCTCTAAGAACGAGCTTGCAGCGTCTCCCAAGGTGACTAGGTAATCCGATCGATCTATGACAAGCACCGACAACATGACAGCAAACTTGATGAAGTTGAAGCTTGCGACCAAGATGAGAAAGCGCTTGCTGACTTGCACTTTACTTGGGACTGCAAAGTCCTTTTTCGAGGCAGCTTTCGCTACATGTAACCAGACGCCGCCCCTACGCTTGCCGAACGATCCAAGATTGGAATAATCCAGCCATCTAGACGATTCCGTAACGAGATTCTTCACTGTGACACGGCCTCCAACCGTATCGGATTCCACGTAGGAGGCATTCACTTCCGCGAAAGTGGCGTTCGTTAGCTCGGAGGTAGCACTGTCTTGCCTGAAGGCGGTGTCCATTTGCGCGAAGGTCGTGTTCAACGGGAGGAACGCGAGATCCATAGCTATCTTGTCAATCGCTAGAAACACATCGCCGTGGATCGAGTTATGCTCCTTGGAATATGGCTCGTGCCACTGGTCAGCTGAAAGAGACCAGTAATCCCCTTGAGTCCAGGTGTGGTTATCAGTACTGTCAGATATCTGTCTCCAAGCTTCTGATGCGACGTCTATGGTTTTGATCAGATAATCATCTCTGTTCGTAATGAGTTTGAACACCGAGGCGTTGTAGCTGATACAAATAAGCTTGCGCATTCCTGAGGCTCATCCAACACGTACAACATATGCAACGGTGTTGACGATAACGCCAATACGAAGCAGAGGAATCTGCGACTCCAGGGAATAGCTCGCATATTGCGACTACTTAGTCGTCCGATATCAAGCCACTCTTCTCTTGCGTGCGCAGCATCCAGGTCTTGTCGTGTTGGGGAATTCAGGACTTGCATGGTGTAATTTGACGAAGATAGCAAGAGCGTGCTGAGTGCGTTGATAAGAATATGCAAATAAGTATTCCACTTGGAAGCGAACGTCTCGTCTCCTTCAATGATCGTGGAAATACCCTCAATATCATAGCCGGATTTGCTGGTTGCTCCGACGATGATGAGCGCGATATTGCAGGAAAGGACGAAGAAGGATATGCAACAGCCGAATAGCACCCCCATGCGCCACCCATGAAAGCGACTTCGTCTCAGTCGCAGATCCCAAGCTTGTGTTACTATCCTAATTGGGCGTGGAAGCTGTGGTGGTGTCCAACGTTGTGATGTTCTCAGGAAAGCATTATTGGCTACGGTGATGTTGGTGTCCGGTATGGATTGCCTGCGTGGGTCAACCTTGCGTGCAAGACTCTGGTAGATAAATTTGCAGCTCACGCGATTGGGTCGCTTGCGCTGTCTTCGTCTTGCAAGATCGTCTTATTGTTACTCGAGGTGCTATTGTGTAGCGAAGCCTCTGTAGTGCGCTGTGGCAAGTGAATGAGTGGTATGGCATCATCAGATTCTCCGTGGTCCGCACGCAAAGGTGGGAGAGAAGGTGCCGGCGAGAGGTGCGCATATTTGTGAGTCTTCGGCATCTTTTGTAGTAACAAACTATTGAGAAGAGAAGGAAAGAGAAGAAAAGATGGAAGCAGTAAGCTTACGAGGGGCGAGAATGCTTATCATGGCACAGCAGCATCTTGACAAGGCTGAGACGGCAATTGCAGTGGCTGTCTTGACAACCGCCCCCGTGTGGTTGTACAACCATGTTCGTGTTATCCTATTGGTAGGTGCGTATGGCAATATGCATGCCAGTCGGGCGAGGCTGAGGCTACGCGAATGTGCATATTATGATGCCTGAGCGTGCGGTACTCGACGAGGCTATGCGGGCTGTCGCACATGCGCCTCATGGCAGAAGTTACCTGGGTATTGACAATGGCGTATCTGGAGTAGTGATCGCTTAGAACGCGCAGCCCGGGTATCCGCAAGGTAGTCGTTGTCGTTGGCGGTTATCGGGCGGGGTGGAAGAAGCTGGAAGTCGCGAGTGCATCGTGACACGGGCACGTGAAACGAAGTTCCGCGGCAGGAGTGACCTCATAATGTCAGCACAGCCCTAGTGCGTCTCACGCAACCTTCATCCTTCCACCTACACCCACGCGCACTCGAACCACCTACTTCGCATCGCACGCAGTCAACCTCTGCGACAAATCCATCACCATGGGCGCACCCAAATACCAGAACGTGCCTCAGCGCGACTCGCTCGATGAGGCAGCGCCCGCGCCGTCCTATTCGCAGGCGCCACCCAGCTACCAGGCGGCCAACGACCCCCAAGAAGCCCTCCTCAGCGGCGTCCCGCGCGGCGAAAACGACAACCTGCCCGATGACTTCAAGTTTGGCGGTGTTGTGGCAGAGGCGACGCTGGATATCCGGATGGCTTTCATCCGCAAGGTCTACGCCATCTTGTAAGTACCTTGCCTTCATGCCTCAAAGGCAAACGTCGCACATACTGACTGTCTACAGGACTGTCCAACTCCTCGCAACCGCCGCCGTCAGCGCCCTCTCGATGATGTCGGAATCGTACAAGAACTTCATCCAGCAAACGCCAGCGCTCATGTGGGTGTCGCTGATCGGCTCCTTCGTCTTCCTCGGCCTCACCTTCTGGAAGCGCAAGTCGTACCCTACCAACCTGCTCTTTCTCGCCGGCTTCACTGCCATGGAAGCATACTCCATCTCCGTCATCGTCTCCTTCACCGACTCCAGGATCGTGCTGCAGGCGCTGTTCTTCACACTGGGCATATTCATTGCGCTGAGCTTGTTCGCGTGCCAGAGCAAGTACGACTTCACGCACTGGGCGCCGTACCTTTTCGGCGCGCTGTGGGTGGTGGTGCTGTTCGGCTTCATGTCCATGTTCTTCCCCCACAGCAGCTCGGTTGAGCTAGGATACGGCGTTGTTTGCGCGCTCATCTTCTCTGGCTACATCCTGGTGGACACACAGATGATCATGCGCCACTACCACGTCGAGGAGGAGATTGCGGCGTCCATCTCCCTCTACCTCGACATCATCAACCTGTTCCTCGCCATCCTGAGGATCCTCAACTCGCAGAACAACAACTAGGCGGGGGGGGGGGGGGGGGG